CACAAAGTGTGTCATAATGGCTTGTAATCCATGCTGTGCTAAGTGGTTCAAAGGTAGGAAAGACAGGGCAAGAATAAAGCATTCAGTTCTTAAGAGTCAGCTGTTCTTGGGATTGATATTCTGATCTGTTTGGTCAACTCTGCAAAGGATCTAGAAGCAGTAAAGTGATGACATTAGCTGATGATTCAGTTACTTGGGTTAATCAAGGCAGAGGGGACAGACGGGGCTAATTAAGTAGCTGGGCAGCCCAATGATAGATGAATCATTATGGGCAAGTGCAAAGATAATGCCATTGGGAAAAGCAATTTAAGTCATTCATGCACTTCCAGGCCAGGAAATCCTTCTAGTCTTTGACAGGGATCATTTAGGAATCATCAGGCCCAGCCTGATGAAGTCATCTATTCATTATGCAACTAACGATCAACAAAAAAGCTGAACGCACAAGGGGACAAGCCATATGGAATACATTTTGGTGGCCGGGATGTATATCTGTGCCTTAGTTTCAATCACCTTCTTTAAAACAAGTCTTATTCCACCCCTCTTTTCTTTTCCTTTCCTGTCCACAATCTCCCCCTACTCTTTATGTTTTCATCTCCCTAAACACAGTTTCAATGTATGGATGAAATATTTTTGAAAGTAAAGACAAATATTTTCCATCCTAATTTTTAGTGCTGTCCTTCATATAGGTTGCTCTCTGTATACATACAAGTTTTCAAGGGACACTTCAGCATGTTACAAAACAGGTTTTGCAATGAAGAGGCAGTGTCTATGCAAGAGAATTTATCTGGAATTTTGGGGGAGAAGGCTTACATTTTTTATTGAAAAACAAGAAAAGTGGGTGGGAAAATAGAAGCATATATAAATTAAAGTAAACCATACTTGCAACTACTTGTTTTGGGGGGGGGGTTCTTTGTTTGTTTTTTGTTTTTAAGATTTTATTGGGGAATCAGGAAAGGGGAACAGACAAGTTGCTGTCCTTTTGTTCTTCAGTCTAGTTGTGGAGAACATTGCTTCACTGGCCCATGTTGGTCTTAACATTGTGTTCTTCCCAGGTGAGGCAGTCGCTTGTCAGCCATTGCACGGCCACTCACAGTGGCTCATGGAAGCTCATGAAAGCTCACTCTTGCTGCCAGCCAGCCCCACTGCAGCCTACGCCATCATCAGTGACTCATGGCAGCCCAGCTCCATGTTCACCATCTTAGCTGTAGAGGGTACAGCATTACTGGCCCTCATGTGGGATCCGAACTGGGGCCCTGCTGCTCAGAGCTGGCGTCCCAAGCCAACTCCTAACCAACGGGCCACTCAGCCTGCCCAACTATTTGTTTTTTTCAAAAGTCCCAAGAGGGACCCAACAGTAAAGGTTACCAATGATGACCATATTGATAAATCCAGTCAACACTATTTCATCTTCTGATTTATCTTCCCCCTCCCTGGTTGCTGTTTGTCACCATTTTAAGGTCAGGCTTATTTTCCCAACCATTAAATGTTGAATTCTTAAATCTCTGTATATTTTTTTTATTGTTATCTACCCATTGTTTCAGCTTCATAATGCCCCACACTAAACCACATCTTGCCTGGTTCTCAACCACTCTGCTCTACAAACCACAGGACAATGGCACGTATTCTGTTTCCTGTGGCTGGAATGTTCTCCTCTGGTTTTTTGCCAAGTTAACATTTATTCATCTTTTAGATCTCAGCTCATGTATCATTTATTGACTTACCCAGACTTAGTCCAATCTAATATGGGCTCTCATAACACCACATTGCGTTCTTTATAGCATTTACCAGAGTTGCAATTTTACATCCATTTATGTGATTATTTGATTAATGTCCGTCTCCTCCACTAGACTATAAGCTCTTCCCTGTTTATATTTCTTCTCTTCCTGTTTCTACTTACTAACCTTGCCCTGCCCACTTCTCTTCTTCATGAGTTACCATAGCTTCTACTGACCAGTCTCCTTCTGTCTTATAGGTTCTGATAATAAGCTTTTCTTTCTATGGCCCTCAGTATTTACTCAATACCAATTGTGTGTTTCCTCTAAAATTTTCACATTCACACTTTACCTATAAAACGATCTTATTGGTTTAATTCACACTTATCTCTTTGACAAAGTTCCTGTGATAGGCCAATTTATGGCTCCTTGGCCAACACCAGAATGGACTGCCCTTGGGTCAAGGATGTTCTACACCCATTAGCTGTGACCAGCATGGTGGGAGTAAGAGGTCAGATTTCCTGAGAAAGTACAATAAGCCAGATGCTTTTTCCATCACAGTCAGACTTGGGGAGGGATCATCCTTGAGAACTTGGGTTGGGTGAAGGGTAATAATAGAAAACAAGTAGGGATACCTGCAGCATTCAACATCTGTCTCATTGGTTGGTGTTCCACTCAACTAAATCTCCATTCCTCGGCATATATTGTTAACATATTTAAAATGTCACAGAAGTCAAGTAGAATTGGGTCTGATGAGCAAAAAAAAAATAATAATAATTCGAAGGAAGATATTTTCAGAATGATAGAATCTAGTGTAAACTGTCAGATGTTTGAATAAAGGAAGTGCCCCTTGGGGGAGGGGTCTACTTTTGATGTACCCTTACTTCTAAGGAGTAGCCCTTTAGGCCTCCCACCCAAAGTGAAAGGGGTTTACCAGTCCTTTCCTGGGGCAAGGTTCAGGCTCTAGTCCTTGATATCTTTCCCCATCCTTCACAACATGAGTCTGCCTGGCGTTTGCTAAGCCCTCAACTTCTCAACTGTTTCTACTAGAAAATTTTTGTATAACAATGATCCTAACATTTGGCAGAGATAAATTTTATTGAGCTTCAGAAGAGATGGCCACCATCCATTATCTGGGCAGACATCATCCATTGCTGTTGTTGGGCAAAGTGTCATAACATAGGGGTAACAGCACAGAATCTATAACCCAATCACCTGGGTTCAAATTCTGGTTCTGCCACCTACAAGTTATGTGAACTTGGGTAAGTTACTTGGCTCTTGCTCATGTGTAACATGACATTAAATATCTACATCAATATAGTTGTTATAAGGACTAAATAAATTATTAAATGTTAAGTTCTTATAATAGTAGTGACACTACATATTTCTGAGCTATAATTATTATTGTTGTTGATATTATTGTTGTCCTTTAGAGGTAACCTCATCCAATTATTGGCCACCTGTATTACACGTTTGGTTGTAGGTGGTAGAAATGCAGCTCAAAGTAACTTCAGTAAGAAAAAGAAATGTATTGGTTCACATAATAGGGCCAGTTGAAAGGATGGACTCACTTAGGCATGGCTAGACCCAAGGGTTCCAATGATGCCATCAGGACTCTTGCTGTTTTCTGCCTTGTTTTTTTTTCTGGATCAACCTCATTCTCGAGTAGGTTTTCTCCATATTGTGACAAAGATGTAGCTTGAGAATGACATTATTCTTATACTTTTCCCTCAGTAGATCTGAAAGGCTCTGATAGGCCCAGGCTGTGTTCCATTGTTGAACCAATCATCAGGGGGATGGGCTATTCCAATTAGCCAGGCCTTGGTAACATGTTACACTTGTAGCAAAGAAGAAAGGTGAGGTGAAGGGCCGGCCGAGTGGCTCAGTTGATTAAGAGCTCACTCAAGAGTTTGAGCTCTGAGCAACAGCGGTTCGAGTCCAGCCCGAGCTGAGCAGCCGCTGTGCTGCCAACAGGTAGCAGGATGGCTCAGCCAAAAAAAAAAAAAAAAGGTGAGGTGAACTCTACCTGAACATCACAGTCCCCTGGAGTAAGGATGTTGAGTAGGAGATGCCCACAGCTTACCCGTTGTCAAGGCATAATCTGGGGCCATTTCTCCAAAAAGGAACTAGAGGACATGTTTCCTGACATTTTTACTCATTTTTCACCTAGAAAGTTACAGACAGCCAGGAGTGATGTTCAAAATATTGAATAACTGGTAGATCAAGGTCTCTGATAGGTTTGAATGCACACCTGATCAATCAGAATGGAGGACAGTGGTAGCAGCACAGTCCTGCTGAATAGCAATTTTGCATCAAATGCAAACATTGGACTGATTTCTAGGCAACTTAAACACCTAATTCTATTCAACCTTCCTTATTGAGCAGGCAGGATTGGAGTAGACAGGTGTCTTCAGAACTTGATCTGCTCTTTAATTTCATTTGTCATCTTGAATGTGTAACCCCGCACCCTCACCCCCACCCCAGAACATATGCTGAGAACAGAGGATAAGCTTTTGAGCTGAAACACCAATAACCTGGAAATGGACACATGTACATTGGCTTGACCTTCTGTTTTGGGACAACACTCATTTTTTCTGCTTGGGGAAAGCAGAGGTATCCCTCTTCTCTTCCTTCTGTTATTCTACCACCACCAAATACCTCACAAAAGAGTCCTGGTCTCAGCTGGACCTACCTTGTCCAAGGATATGCTACATTTTCAAATTCCAACTGGATGATGTGTTCTTTAATTAGAGACTTAGATGAGGGGCAATTTGATGGGCCAGCTCAGCTTGGCTAAAAAGCCTCTACCAACAACTAGCATGGTATAGTGTGTGTGTGTGTGTGTGTGTGTGTGTGTGTGTGTGAGAGAGAGAGAGAGAGAGAGACTTCTTGTGTCACTCCCTTCTCCTGAGTTGTTTCTAAAACAGTTTGTGCCAAGTCCATACACAATAGGTACCTAGTAAATGATAGTTCACCTCCTTCCTTCTTGCTACACACCCTCCCCACCACTCCACACCACTGTGGTTCTGCAGTCTAGCCTGACTGTATTTGCTAGCAGTATGTAGCCATACCGTTGCCCCTGGATCCTGCCTTCTAGGCTCAGGGAAGTTCTCAGGCATCATTGTCCACACCTGCTCACCAGGAGAAATTTCCCTGCCCTACTGCCATCTTGTCCCAGTTAATGTTGCAAACCTGCAGAAAGACTTAAGAATGCTTGCCAAGTCAATCTGACCTTTGCTTCCCTCTTTCTGGTGGGAATTGATGGATTTCATGCCTGTCTCCTTTCAGGGTTGCAGAGAGTACGGCAACTTGCAAAAAACACAAGATACTTCAGACAGAGACTGAATGAAATGGGATTCATTATCTATGGCAATGAGGAATCTCCTGTTGTTCCCCTGCTCCTTTATATGCCTGGTAAAGTAGCGTGAGTATCCAATGGACTCTCAGAATAATGCCTACGCCCCAAGGTGACGTGACTAAGATGGTGCTTTTGACACTATGAGGCTCTTTCAGCATAGGCATTGATCATGTACTTTGAATGGGGCGCTGAGTGCAGAATTCACTTGTACAGCTTCTAGAAACCCCTGCCAACCCATTGGCTATGCCTTTTCACAGGTCTTATAGGAACACAACCAGGTGCTGAGGCCCACCATTTTCAAGCTCTGTGAATTTAGAGGAGTCACTTACCACCCTAAGCCTCAACTGTAGAGAATGATCCTGCACCTCCTCCTTCCTTAAGATATGTCTCAGGGAGAACCTCTGAAGACCATTTCTCCACATATTTAAAAGCAATATTACCAGGCTCTATGCTTTCTCCCACTGAGCTCTCATGGCTATCCTCTCAGAAGAAGACAGCATCACTTTAAGTGTGGGGAAACTGAGGCTGAGAGCAGTTAAATAGTTTGTGCAAAGTCATACTTGTCAAGGAGTAGTAAAACCAAGAGGCCAACCCAAACCTACTCTTGCTCCAAAGCTCATGCTCTTAACACCAACTTTTAATGTGGTCTCATTTGATCACAGCTCTGAAATTGAGCATTCGTAGCAACTGCATAAAAAGAGAAAAGAAAAAAAGATTTTTTTCTCAGTATGTCATAGACAATTTTGTATATGAGCCATTCTCCAACCTGCTGGAGACTAATTACCTCTAAAGGACATTAATTAAAACCCTTTGAAAATGTAAAATATTTATTTGTGTGTGTGACCAAATGCATGGTAGAAAGTAATATTGAACATACCCGTATATTTATCAGAATCTAGAAGTCCTGACTCTTTTAACATAACCCTATTGTGGTAACTTTCTGTCTGGCTCTTTAAGAGTCTGAATAGTTAGACAGAGTATTGAAAGTATAGAAAAGACATTCCAGGGCTATTAGTTTAGAACTCATGATGGGTAAGAGTGAGTTATAAGCTCCCAAAACATTGGTTCTTCCGAGTACATTCTTGTGTCTTTCTACCACAGCAAAACCCCAAGTAGTTAAAACACACATGTGAGTTGTTCAGTGTGCCAAAGCTTCACAACCACTCAGCCCTTCGTTCACAGATCTGGGTCAGGATATTAATGCCTAGAGTGGCCAAAAAGACCTTGTCCTACAGAAATCTCACAAGGGATACTGCTCTGTGCTAATGGCAGGGAGGGGTGACAATGGTGATTCAAATTAGCAGATAATCCAAAAAAGTTTATCATTTGATTTTGGAAGGCATAAAAGAGAACATACATTTATTCAGAGTAATTGGGGAAATAGTATGTTCTGGAAGAAAGACTCCACAGTTAGCTAATGTTGATTTAATGTTTTATCATTAGCTGAAATGAAGACATCAAATATCAACTTGTTTTAATTTTGAGAGTATGAGGTGCACAACGTTGGTAGGTGGCAGTGGGGGTGTACTGGATATGTCTGAATTTGATAATGCAAGCTAGAATTAGAATCTCAACACATTGGAAAAATGGATCCATACAATAAGAAGGTTCCATGAAGAGTAAAAAACAAAAGCATTTAAATAAAAGTCTTCGAGTTCCAGTCAGGCTGGCAGAGTAGGTCAAGATTGTGCTTGCCTCCTCCTATGATCACATAAAAATTACAACTAAACTACAGAACAACCATTATTGAGAATTGCCTGAAGTCTAATTGAACAGAAGTCTTATAACTAAGGGTATACAGAAGAAGCCACGTCAAAACTGATAGGAGGGGCAGAGATGCGTAATGGGCTGGTGCCACACCCACATGTGGTGTTTAAAAATTGAGAGGGATATCTTGGCTGTGGAGGTCTCCTCTGAGGAGCAAGGTGTCCCAGCCCCACACCAGGCTTCCTACCCAGGGTTGCAGGGCTAGAGAAAGAATTCTTCATAACTTCTGGCTGTGAAAACCAGCAAGGATTGTGACTGAGTCAGATGGAGGATGGCTGGCTTCCCAGGCATTCTTCTTAAAGGACCCATGCACAGACTTAGTCACTGATGGACTCACTCATTTTGAGCTCCAGAGTGAGGACAGCAGTTTGAAAGGCTCCAAGGACATACAGGGAGGAACTGAATTGTCTGGCTACAGGGCAAGGGCAGGAGGAGCAGCTTTCACCCAAACAGAAGTGCTGGCAGAAGCCATTGTTCCTTTGTTGAGCTCACCCCTCCACCAGCATGCAGACTTAGATAGGCACCATATCTAAGTTTCTGTCAACCAGGCTGACATGTTCACAAGCCCTGGTGATTCACTGAGACCCCGCCTGACCCACAGGCCCACCCAAGCCACTTCCAGTGGCTTTTCCATACAAATGGCCTATTTTGGCTTATGCTGCAGAATTCCCTAAAATCTCACAAAGGTTCACAAACCCCAAACAAGCAACATGTGGCCTCAGCATGCCCTGTGTCTCTTGCTAAGCAGCTTCAAACCAGGCACAAGTGGCAACCATATGAAAATCACTTTGTAGCTCATACCAAGTAGCCTTGGGCAGCTCACAGGCAGCAACTGACCTTTGCCTGCAATAGAGCTCCTCTTAAGACACCCCAGAACCAGCACACCTGATGTTCCACTTTAGACCACACCAGAGCACCACCCAACCACCTTTAAAAAAAGACACACCCAATCCTGCTTCAGAGGGTCAACCACTGCAAAACAGCTCCTCTGCTGTAGCCACATCCAGTCCCTACAACCAATCAGAGTCAATCCCTCCCATTGACATACAAACAGCAACCAAGGTACAACTACAACAGAAGGGCACACAGAACCCACACAAGGAACACCTGGAGCACCCAGCTCAGCTGACAAGGGAGACTGCACCACTGGGCCTCACTGGACACCTACTACATAAGGCCACTCTACTAAGACTGAGATACATAACAGCTCTATCTAATACATAAAAACAAGAACAGGGAGGCAGCCAAATTGGGGAGACAAAGAAATGTGTCCCAAATAAAAGAACATAACAAAGTTCCAGGAAAAGAACTAAAAAAAGGAAAAAAAATGAGGGCAAGTAATCTACCAGATGCAGAGTTCAAAACACTGGTTATAAGGATACCCAATGATCTCAAGAAGAACTTCAACAGAGAGATAGGGAACATAAAAATGGAGACAGAAACCATAAAAAAAGAAACAGTCAGAACTGAAGTATACAACAACTAAAATGAAGAATACATTAGAGGAAATCAACAGTAGGTTAGATGAAGGAGAGGATCTAATTAGCAATTTGGAAGATAAGGTACCAGAAAACACCCAATCAAAACAGCAAAAAGAAAAAAGAATCCAAAAAAATGAGGATAGCTTAAGGGGCCCCTGGGACAACATCAAGCGTACCAACATTTGCATTATAGGGACACCAGAAGGCGAAGAGAGAGAGCAAGACATTGAAAACTTATTTGAAGAAATAATAATGGAAAACTTTCCTAAATTTTTGGTGAAGGAAACAAACATAAAAACCCAGAGAGTCCCAAACAAGATAAACCCAAAAAGGCCCACCCATACATCATAATTAAAATTCCAAAGGTTACAGACCCAGAGAGAATCTATAAAGCATCAGGAGAAAAGTAGTTAGTTACCTAAAAGGAAGCTCCCATAAGACTATCAGCTGATTTCTCAACAGAAACTTTGCAGGCCAGAAGGGATCAGCATGAAATATTCAAAGTGATGAAAAAAAATAACCTACAACCAAGATTACTGTACCCAGCAAAGTTATCATTTAGAATTGAAGGACAGATAAAGGGCTTCCCAGACAAGGAGCTAAAGGAGTTCATCACCACCAAACCAGCATTAAAAGAAATGTTAAAGGGACTTCTTTAAGAAGATGAAGAAAAGAAAAAAAAAAAGAACAAGAATACCAATATTAAAATGACAATAACTACATATCTATCAACAAATACTTTCAATGTAAATGGATTAAATGCTCCAATCAAAAGATACAGGTGGCTGAATGAATAAGAAAGAATACTCTTACATATGCTGCCTAAAAGAGACCCACTTCAGATTGAAAGACACACAGAGACTAAAATTAAAAGAATGGAAAAAGATATTTCATAAAAATGGAAACAAACAAAAAAAGCTAGAGTAGCAATACTTATACCAGAGAAAATAGACTTTAAAACAAAGGCTATAACAAGAGACAAAGAAGGACTCAATAATTCCACTTCTGAGGATTTATCCAAAGAAACTCAAAACACTAGTCTAAAGGCACATGTGCATTTATATATTCATTGCAGCATTATTTACAACAGCCATGACATGGAGGCAACCTGGGTGTCCATCAATGGATGAATGGATAAAGAAATGGTAAATATATACAATGGAATATTACTCAGCCATGAATGGAATATTAGTCAGGCAAGAATGGAGTCTTGCCATGTGCAACAACATGGGTAGACCTAGAGAGCATTGTGCTGAGTGGAGTAAGTCAGAAAGAAAGACAAATGTCATATGATCTCACTTATAGGTGGAATCTAGATAACAGGATAAATAAAGAATCAAAACAGAAACAAGCTCATAGATACAGAGAGCATTTTGATAGTTGCTGGGGGGGGGGAGATTGGGGGATGGGTGAAGTGAGGCAGGAATTCAGAGGTACAAATTGGTAGTTACAAAATAGTCATGGGGATGTAGAGCATAGCATGGGGAATATAGTCAGTAGTATTATAATAACTATATATGGTGTCAGATGGGTAATGGATTTCTAGGGGTGATTACTTCATAAGTTATATTAATGTCTAATTACTGCATTGTACACTTAAAACTAATATAATATTGTATGTCAACTGTAACTGAAAATTTAAAAATATATATATTTTAAAATAAATTCAAGTATTCAACTATACCATATCAGATGGTGAGAGGGATTTTCCCTGTTCTTTTATATGCCTGGAGTCCTGATTGGGCAACAGCTAATGTGAAAAATGAAAATAGAACTTAGAGGGAGCTTAAAGTGAAAGTTTTTCTATGGTAGAGTGAAATGTTTGGAATGAATAAGAATTTTGACTCTGCCTCTTCCTAGCTGGGGGATATTGGACAAGTTACCCAATCTCCTGAAGCCTCAGTTTTCTTATTTTTAAAATGGATTATAATAGTACCTATTTCATAAGGTCACTGGAAAGATTAAACAAGATGAGGCCTATAAACATTTGGCACGTTGTCTCTTATAGAAGAGCTATGCAGTATTAGTTGTTATTACTAATAGTATTAACAATGTGTATAAAGCACTTAATATAATGTTTGATATATTATAAGCATTCAATCAATAGTAGTGATTATTTTTACTACTACTTCTACTTCTAGTACTATGATTATTATTACTATTTTCAACTGAATGCAAGACTGGGTCACCATAGTTGCGTAACTCTCCAAAACAATTGTTGCTATCTTTAGTTTCATTAATAAAAATAGTACTTCCAGGAAAATAGTAGGTAAAGATCCTATTATACTCTGCATCAATTATGATATATTGGACACTGGAGGGTATGTCAAACTATCTAGTGCCTTCCAATTTAAGATGATTTTTAATGAGGAGCTAACATGGCTGAATACTGATTATATGATCATCCATTGAGTGTAGGACACTTTGCCCTCATTTACAAATGAGGACACCGAAACCCACAAAAGTCAAACTGCTTTCTGAGGGTCACTTAGATTGTAGGTAGTACAGCCCAGAATTCAAAGCCAGTTGCATTTGCCTCCTAATCTAGAGCTCTTTTCAGTGCACAGCATGGCCTCTGAAGTTTTAGTCCATCGGGGAAAGAAATGCATATCTCATTAAAGCAACACAGGGCATAAGTTTAACCCTCATTAATGTCATCTTTGGTGAATCCAAAGGCATCAGTCACTACAATGGAAAAAAAATAGTTGTTTGTGTTGTCTAAGGAAACTTAAAACAGTTTAGTTATGAAAGGTCATATCACCTATTATTGGCAGGAGTTGCTGGCAAGAGCTTGTTCTGCCTAGTGTCCTTCTTTCCTGTTCTGATATTTCTTCAATGAATAGGTTATATGTAAAGAAGCTTTTAAGACAGAGAGTTAATGGTATTAGCCAGTGTATAAGCACTTCTTTCATTTCACTCATTTAAAAACCTTTGATTTCATGAAAGAACTATGATTTCTCCACATTTCCACCTACCACCAAATTAAAGTATAACCTCTAGCCAGTTGAACTTTTGAAAAAAGTCCAGCTGAAACTCTATCACTGGATCTTCTATGGAGTTCAGTATAATGTGATTTCACACATAAAACATGCACTTAAATAATCAAGACTGTATTGTACATACTATTTGGTACAGGGCTTACATTTCCTTTCATAGTCCTCGTCCCGTGTTTAGAAGATGGTGGGACACAAAATGCAGTGACGCTGCAACACAGTGCTAATGGTGGTGATGATGATGATGATGATGATGATGATGATGATGATGATGGTTCACATAGTTTAGTTTCTTTCTACTTACACCGGCTCTAATTTCCTTTGGGGAGTACAAACCCAGAGGCTCATTATATAAAATGTTCAGGGCAATTATATGCATTAACTGAAGGAGGCTAGGTTTAGTAGTATAAGTTTTAAGCTCAAAAGTGCTCCAGGGAGGCCTCAGATTAGCCTAATGAATCAACAGTCATATATTTTGCTCTACATTCTTTGGCAAAACTTGCTTCCTCTGGTACAAAGAGAAATGTGTAGACAGTGAAAACGCCCCTTTGGGAGTCCCAACAACTGGCCTGAGATTGTGGGTCAGGTGGTTTGTACTCCAGCAATAAAAGCACTTGACTTGTTTCTCAGACAATTATGAGTTCTCATCCTGTGTAGTTCGTGGGCAGCCTTCCACAGGGTGATGAGAAAGAACAGCCTCTGTGTTCAAGCTTTTGCAGTTAGAAAGCTTCATCTCCTTGAAACCTTCCCAGTCCAAATCAAAGGGCGAATCTTGCCTTACTCAAGCCAGGAGGTCAGAGAGGCGTGTGTTCGGTAGGTCTTACAATCTCCATCACTTCATTTGATAACCTACATTCTACATGAGGCAACCAAAAGACAGACAGCTAAAGGGTGAGAGGAATTAATGAATGAACTGGCTTGTTCTCCACGTCTGGTTCAAGAATTTTTCCTGAGTTATGACTGGAAGGTTTCTGTGGTGCTGTCAGCTTCCAGCCTAAAATGAGACACCGGCAACCTCTTAATGCTAAGAACAGAGCTGAGGCATTTACTTCATTTGTGGGCAGAGCCGATCAGTAATTAAAGTTTCCTGCAAAGAGCAACAGAGCACAAGGGAGAAAGATTTACTTGGAGACACATCTTTTTATCTGACATTGGTTGTTGGCATAAAAAATTTACAGATTTTGAGAGCTTGATATTCTAAAATTGTTACTGACATTAACTCTGGAACAGAAAGTGGCTAGAAGCAGATAAGGGGAAGCAATCATAGTTTTAAAAGGTTTTACCCTGCATCAAAGTACCTTATAGATATATGACTTATATCCTTCAGGCTTCATCTACCTGCCAGCTTCCCTGAGTGTGTGCATTTCTTTCCCTGTTTCCCTCATGCCCCATTCCCCTTTTAACCAATCAATGGATTTATTGTCCCTGAATATACCTGGGTGTGTTCATTCACATATTTTTTAAAATGTGGAGACCCCTAGCTATTTCCTATCTCTAGTTTGATGGAAAATAAAATCTTTGGCTCTGGAGTGAGACTATTGCTTGGGGTTGACTCCTGCAGACCCTCTGATCCTGGTCCTCAAATTACAGTCTCTAAGTAGAGGCTTCTTGAAATTTCCACACTAGCTTATTGGTGTTAAGTTTTTAAAACATATAGGTTTGCTTTTGATATGTATTATTTCTTTAGTAATTGCATTGTGCTAGCTGTTTGGTTTTATTCCTAGGAACCCTACAGACAAAGGATTGAACATCAATGCAGACTTGTTAAACCAGGGTCACATACATCATCATTTTCTGCTTAACGTCAGAGACTCAGTCCTCAAGATTGTTTAATGAGCGTGCCAGACTCCATACTATACACACTCAGTTACAGGTGCCACCAAGTGACTGACTGCCCCTTTTCCTTGCCAATTGTATTTTACAGAGGTTTAATAACTTAAATCATCCTCTACTTATTGTTATTAAAAAGAGAGTAAGTCAATTAGCCATATTTCTTTTTTTTGCAGCATAATTTTGTCATCTCAGTTAACCTTCTTTTTTGTCTTTCCTTTAGGGCTTTTGCAAGGCATCTATTGAACAGAAAAATTGGCGTGGTGGTTGTTGGATTTCCAGCTACTCCCCTCGCAGAAGCTCGGGCGCGGTTCTGTGTTTCAGCAGCACACACCCGGGAGATGTTAGACATGGTGAGTACAGCATGGGCCAATGGAAACTCCAATGCTGGTGCCTTGGATTCTGAGCATATTCTTTTACTGAGCTGGCTTAGAGCTCCCTGGATATCTCTTGGGAGGTTTAGGAAAACAATACTAATAATACTCACTGCTAAAAAACAAGTGTTTTCCAACACTACCCAACAATGTGATCAACTAAGTAGATAGAAAAGAAAATCAGTTTAGTGAAGACTTGAATCAAGTTGGTGTTTTGGTTTCATAGAAAAAACTGACTAAGTAGTCAAATGCTGTGCTATTTACTAGTTCTTAAGAGCAAAAGGTAATCTAACATACTATTTCAGCATCAACTGCCTGCATCCAGACATTTTTCATAGGCACCAAATCCATCATAATAAAATATGACCCAACCAGGAAACATGTTGGAAAACCAATAACAAAGACAGATCTATCCTATTAGCCATTTACATGAGGTATAAATGATTTAAAAACCACATTTCATTGCCCTGTGATTTAAATCTTTATGTGAATGAGTGATATCAGAGAATTAAACCATCTCAATCAGTTTGGGGTTGATGCAATTTTCTCATAATGTCACTGCAGTTTAGCAAACACTACTGTTTACCATATGCAAAACGTTGGGGGGGGGGAAAGCCTAAGGGGAGATGCTAATAAATAAGCAACTAATGAAATACCAATCAGAATAAATTCACCTTGGAAAATAAATATAGACAACTATGGGAGCATAAAGTAGGAATGAGTTATTATATATGAAATTATATAAGTTCATTTATTATATATGAATGAGTTATTACATATAAAGGTGGGAATGACTTCTCAAAGGGGAAAGTCCCTAAGCCCCATTAATCATTCATTCTAATGTTAATGACTCTCACCTCACCTTCTTCAAAGCATTAGACTCTAATATTGTCTTCCTCCTCTTTTGACAGATTAAGAAAAACAGGCTCAAAAGAGGTCAAAACACCATGCCCAAGACCATAGGATTAGTGATATATTAGAAGTAAAAACTACATTTTGTATATCCTGGATCTTAGTTGTTTCATTTGTAAAATTAGGTATACATTTACCTGCCTGAATTAGGAGAATTGAAACAGATGAGTTCTTGGTCCTCTGTGGTTTTAAAATCTATTCTATGGAACATAGAGATGAGTATTTAAAACTGGGAGGAGATGGGAAGTGGGCAAAGGAAAGCAAGCACAGGAGAGAGAGGAGGACGCTAATCAGCTCCTCAATGTTTGGTTTTGTTCTTGGCCAGGTTGATCTGCTATGTCATGAAGACCAAATGTAATCCACAACTTTAGCTTTTTGTGCCACAGGGCTATCATAAGTCATTAAACTTTAAAATAAAGGTGAAGTGTTAGCATTGCTCAGATGCTTTTATTCCTCTTCTCATACCCCCAAAATAAGTTAAACATTCATAATGTGGAGTTAGACTACTAAGGAATATGAGATAAAAGTAATTAACATCTAACGTTCGTCTAGGGCTGGTTTATAAGCTATACCTTAGTGGTTTGGATCTTTCTCCTTTTCTTTAAAATCAAAGAATCTGGCAAAAGAAGACTATGGCTTTCTGTGAGGTGCTAGAGAGCAGAGCCACTTAGGGTTTTAAAGATAACTGACAGAAGACAATTTCTTTACAGGTTTTGGAAGCCCTGGATGAGATGGGTGAGCTACTGCAACTGAAATATTCCCGGCACAGGAAGTCAACGCGCCCTGAACTCTATGACGAGACAAGCTTTGAACTTGACGATTAAGTTTCCTGATCCTGAATGGAACCTAAAGACTTTGCCAGAAAGACCTCTTTCCTTGCCTCAGAAGGGATATAAATGGATTTCTCTCCCTTTCTAAGGATAATTTTGGATTCCATACCAGCTTAATTGAACTGAGGGAGACGTGTTTTTAATGTCTCCAACTCAGGACTGCAGAGACAAAAACATGGTTTCAGATTTTGTTTCTCTCCCAAGTATCCTGCTATAAACACACACATACACTTCTTAGAATATTATTAATGGCAATGAGCCTGTGTTTTAGCTGCTACCGTGCAACCTCTTTGGTCCATACCCTATCAAGAGTTCCAACCTAATGAGAGGGTTTTGATTTTTAATTCAGTAGATCTCTCTACGTGTTTACTTATTCCATCTGCAGACATGGGTAAGGGTGGTGGGCAGTAGCCGACCTTGTTCCATGCATGAAAGCAGCAGCTAGAACTCATTGGTATCATGGGAAGTTCCAGGCAAGAAAGTAAAGAAATGTTGCTTCTACCATTTGTCACATTTGGACTTTTTCCAAGGACAAGTGTCAAAAGCCATAGTTAATGTTTCAAGGGAGAGAACAAAACTGGCCAGGAGCAACTGGAGACGTCTTTGAAGGAAACTTTCCTTTTCCTCTTGCTGGTCTCCTACAGTTTTACAGCTGAGCTTTTGAGGTTTGGAAAATTCAAGACGTTTGTTTCATAAGGAAGGGGGCAGACAGCAATCACAAGCCAATTTCAGGCCTAGACTAAAACCGTAAAGTTATAACAACTTGAACATTTTTGGTACCATGGGGAGTGAATGAATGTTTAGCATGCATAGCCTTTATGACTTTAAGGAACGAGTTGTCATTTTCCTATTGAATTTTGAGTAAATGGTGAGATTCAATTTCCTTTAGACTTGACTCCCAGGACTACACTTGAAGAATGTATTGATTCAAAAACAGCATTTAAAAGCAAATTCTATTCAACTTTTTTCAAGACTGACACCCCCATTTAGACTTATTAATATTAAGTAGTACTGTCATCTGGCACATGCACTTCAATTTGATGCAAAGTGGGCTTGCACACTATTAGCAACTAACTTTAACTTACCTCAGTTCTCTCTCTCTCTTCCTCTCTCTCTCTCTCTCTCTCTCTCTCTCTCTCTCTCTCTCTCTCTCTCTCTGAACACATACTTCTCTAGAATAGTACCCCTTTGCTAATTGGATCTAGTTGGTATGGAAAAAGCCAGTGGAAAACCTTATCTTTAACAAGCTCCCAGATGGTGCCCAGATTTGGAAACTCTACAGAGCAGTGGTGACCTTTTAGCAAAGCTTCTGTAATAGTTTGAATGAGTTACAGAACATTCCACTCCATCAAATGACACTATAAACAAATCACTTCAAGAGAGGTTTGACTTGGTGTGACACAGATGGACCCAAGCTTTCATGCTGTGCACTGAGATAGAAACTCAACCCAAAGCACCAGTGTTGGATGGAGCAATATGCCCTGATGCTCAAAGCTTATTAAAGGATAAAGGTGATCTGCATGGAAAGCTTTGATGGGAAAATTATAACCCCCAGTAGGTACAATAGTTTAAAAGTGGATAATGAATGTTTTTGAGTACTATTAGCAGAAGAGGAGAAAATTTCCTCATGAACATTTTTAAGTGCTGTAAATTTCCTCATGAATGTTTTTATGTACTATTAGCAGAAAGGAGAGAAAGTGGATTCTGAAAATGTGGTTGCCCCATTCTATGACTGATTTTGATAAACTAAATTCCAATTCTTCTCAACAAACTGGTACAGCACTACTTTTGTGAAGAAAACATATGTTGTATAAATGTGCAAAGAAAAGGAAGACACGTAGGTTTTTTCTCTTGAAAATGTGCATTTAATTGAAATTTACCCTCGTTAATTGTCCAAAATGCATGTCCTCAGCCCTGTAAAAGAAACAAGACACAAAGAGGGCAGTAGAACGGCTGGACCTTCCCTAAAGTACAGCAGGCAATAAACATCCCCTTCCATTCTGAATGTCTGTGATCTTCACACTCACCCTTTGAGTTTTAAGCCTCCAGAGGGGTGTCTTTGGGAGCAGGAATCTATCATTGTTCCTTTCATGGAGTATCTTGAGTCTAATTTGTGATAGGAAACTAATCACTTAGCCACCTGGCATGTGAGGCAGTGAGGAGGTTACTCTCTCTTCACCAAGATCCAAGAGTCCTGGGGCAATTTATTACTTTCTGGTGTACAAGATAAAACATTTATCTCTGTCCAAGAGCCTATGTTGAATAAACACTTATGAGAACAACTGTAATCCAAGTGGAATGCTTTCTGAGCACATTAGGAGGGACCCAAGTCCAGGGGGCTGGTATTTTGAGTATATATTACATGTCATAGAGCATGAGGTTGGTTAAGTGAGTGGTTATGAATACTTAGGATTTTTCATTTTTATAAGAAAAATTCTTCTACTGCTAGGTGAAGACCATGATTGCAATTCAATAGGGATTACTTACTGAGTGTCAATAACTACAGCAGAGCCAAAAAATGTAATTTACGCTGGTTTTATTGAGAAAGATAATTTTCTAACAACTATAATTTTATGTACCCCAAGCCTCCAATTTGCAAACATACACACACACACACACACACACACACACACACACATTTTCCTTTACAGAGAAAATAAGAGTATAAAGGTAGAGCGATGAGAATCTGATTGGTAGATAGATAGATAGATAGATAGATAGATAGATAGATAGATAGATAGATAGATAAATAGATAGATAGATGATGGATAGATAGATGATAGATAGATAGAAGGTATTCTAAAAATCTTCTTCAGGAAAGCAGAAGATAAAGGAACCAGACTGGTATTTGTAAGAAGGATGCATTTGCATATTAAAATGGCATAGACACATTTCTAATCTTATCATGGAACTGCAGTATTGTGGGTGTTTGGTTATATTGCCTTTTAGCATGTTTTGGTCTAGCAGAGACCATTGGCTTTAAAATTTACTAGGAAGCTTTTTAAAATGCAGATCCCTGGGTCCCACATTAGACCTCCACTGAATCAGAGTAGCTGTAGAGCCCAGGAATCTACATTTTCACCAGTCTTCCCAGGGGATTCCAATCCATGTCATAATCTGAGAACCATTATTGAGACTTTTGTTTTGAAAGACCCATTGGCTCTAATAACATAACAGAAACTGTGTTTTAATTTTCTACTGATAATTAAAGGTGTTTATACTACTAAATTAAAGAGAATTATGTCAACCTTTTCTACTTAATAGGACATTTTGCTCCCATTTTTCAGGTACTTTCTCTTTCTACAAAAATAGAATCAACATTAAAGAATAACCACCATTCATTTGGAAAAATTATCCCTTCTCTAGTTCTCCTCTGTATCATTTCCTACAAGATGTTCCTTTTCCTTTCATCACCTTGTTCCACTGAATGTGGTACCTTGTTTCTTTATTTTCCTTCTACCCCTTAAAAAATATTCAACCTCTGATTATTTATTTATTCCAATAACAGCTCCTGAATAGGGTGAAAATCTTAACAGCTCTTCAAACATGTAATGCTCCTCTGTATTTTTCTTCAGCAATAGCAAATATAAGTGGCTTACCCTGACCTAAAATCTCTGATAATGAAATCTTAACTCTTAAATATATTTTTTGATTTACAGCAATAATAACAATTGTGTTTTGAACTTATCTGGTGATTTTTTGGCTATTTTTTCTGGTCTCAGTAAGAACAACATATTTGAAGTCTGTTTTTTCACAATGCCCTATGAAGCTGTGTAATGCTAAGGAAATTAAAAGGAGTCTGTATTTTAAATGTTTCTAAGCACTTATTGTGGGGCGTTGTCTTATGGTGGTGGTGGTGGTGGTGGTGGTGGTGGTGTGTGTGTGTGTGTGTGTGTGTGTGTGTGTGTGTGTGTGTGTTTCGCTGAAACATTTGAAGTGACCAATTTCATTTCATTCTGCCTGTGAAATGTTAATTTCTTTAATAAACAAATCACCAAAATTGACGATATTAAAAATAATGGGTGGTTTTGTGTTGATTTAGTTTGAATTATCCTAAAAAAAGATTGAAGCAGAGATTTGCATTTAAGAATTTTATTGAGGAAAATTGGTAAGGATAGCTGCCACTGGCTTGCACTGTGTCACAAGAACCAATTGTGCTTGTCTCTTCTCAGTTCTGCATTCAGTAACATTGCACTGGTAATTTAAAATTGGTGTGTTGGGAGTATTTGCACCATGGAAATTGTCAAACACTACAAATTAAGGATCTAGAAAGCCAATTGTTAAACATTTACCAGCACACCACTGAGACCACATACAATGGTACAATATCTAGGTTGGAGTGAGAGAACAAGATTGGAAAAGAAGGAAATTGAACTGGGATGTAATCATAACAAAGGCCTTATTAAATCCCATGGGGAGCTATGCAACTGAGATTGTCCTTTAGAGTTAGCTTGAAATGAAGTAAGGGAGCCTTTATGTCCTCTCCACAATCAGCTAGTCATGGGATGCAAGCTACCAGGGCAGAGGCGTGGGGAAGGGCATTACCTTGAGCAAGGCTATTCGGCTGAAGGCATTTCTTGGGGAGGAACTTAGCTATGAGCTGACAGCAGTCCAACCACTTAAAAAAATTTATTTGCAATCCATCCATTTAAAAAAAGTTTTATGGGGCTGGCTGGGTGGTTCAGTTGGTTAGAGCACGAGCTCTGAGCAACAGGGTCGTGGGTTTGATTCCCACATGGGCCAGTGAGCTGCGCCCAAGCTGAACTGCCACTGAGCTGCCAACAGGTGGCCGGATGGCTCAGCTGGTGAGAGTGCATGCTCTTAACAACAAGGTTGCCAGTTCGACTTCCACAACCCGCCCCACAACTAGACTGGACTTGGAACTGAGCTTGAGCCCTCTACAACTAAGATTGAAGGACAACAACTTAACTTGGAGCTGCTGGGTCCTGGAAAAACACAATGTTCCCCCTCCTCAATTCTCCAACACTGTTCCCTTCCCCAATTCACCAATAAAATCTTTTAAAAAAACCCAAAAACTTTTATAATGGGAAATTTTAAATATACATAAAATAGAAAATAGTATAATGAACCCATGTACACCTGTCATCAGCTTCAAATATAGTCAATTCATGGCCTGTCTTTTTCATCTATCCCCACCCACTTCGCTCCCGCTCCCACCAGATTACTTTGAAGCAAACCCCAGAAATCATATGATTTTCTCAGTAAATATTTCACTGAATCTCTCTAAAAGGTTGTGATGTCTTAACTTGTTCTTTAATTTGTTTCAATCTCATTAAAAAATAAATCTTCAGGATAATAAAAGCATCAAAATGAGTCAAATGTTAACCTTTTCTTTCTCTACCTCATACCCTGCATGTGAATTTCCCGGATCAAAATTAGGAGTTATTTCTAAAGTAGGTATGTGGTGTCTTGAAAGATAACACATCAATCATTTTTGGACTCTTAGCATGTGACAGACACTATACTAAGAACTCTGACATACTCTATTTTCTAGCGGTAATGGACTCATCTTGGAAGGCAGCTATGTTAAAGTTGTCAGGGGATTGGCAGAGCATAAAGAGGACTTCCAAGACTCTGACGGGCCATTGCTTTTCTCTGAGAATGCCCACTTCCTTATCAAACCAAATTTCTTCATAAGTTATTTCAGCTAAATTTTATATATTAGCAAGGCTGATTCAAGCAGGAATAAGAGAACAAGTGAATCCAGTTTACCTGTTGGGAGAAGGCTGATGCCTGTAACAGTTAGAGTTTAAGGTAGAACTTGTCACTCATTCTCATTGCATCCATTGGTTCAAATGAAAGACTTAAATCTGATGGTTGCAAGCCAAGCACTCTAAAAAGTTATCACAGACACAAACCCATAAAATATACAACATCAGGAGGTCAGAGTAGAAGCAAGAGGCTTTTTTTTTTTTTTTGCTGTGGCATGAAACAGTGCTCCCTTTTATTCAGCCCAGATGCTAATTTTTATATCAAAAATATTGATTGAAGGAGCTAATGATTTTGGCTCTCACCCAAGTTTATTCAGGATCTTACTTAATTAGGTTTGGGTCGGCTGCAATGCCCATGGCCAGGGTTAGGTCTGGCTCCAATCACCACATTATGTTCTCTACTTCATCACCGTCCAAGGAATAAGGCAAGGAAATTGCTGCTGCTTTGTTTCTCCAGCCCATAAGTATGTTTCTTTCCAGATTTGAAGCATGCACGGAGCAAATGTGTAAGGAAGACCAAAAGAAGTGTAATGGCTTCACTGTGATGAGATCAATCTAGCCTACAATCAGACTGCGATCCCCAGCATGAATAAGGCTCTGTGTGTGAAAAATGAATGGGTAGCAATGTGAGATCATGGAAAAAGATCTTGGCATCTTTTGAATGAAAAATTTTCACCAGGGTGATGTAGCCAATCAGTCTATGAGTATTTTAAAAGGGAAAAACAATCTCTTTTGCCAACAATACATGGTTCCCCCATAATGTATCTATTTCATAAATAATTATAGTTAAGTCATGCAACTATTTTAATAGTGTCCATACCAATTTCAGATGCTTTATCCAATCTTTAAAAAAATCTCTGCACACATAAAGCATCAATAAATTATGGTCACAAATTATAAATATCTATGATTAAATGGGTCTTCCTTTATCTATAAAATAGTATTGGTATTAAAAAATATAATTTAGTTCCTCTAAAAAATTTTCAACTAAACATTTATAAAAAGTTTTTAACTCAAAAATTCTTACATAAAACTCCGAAGTATGTTTTTTTTTTTAAAGATTTTATTGGGAAATTGGGGAAGGGGAACAGCGTTAGGGAATCAGGAAAGGGGTACAGACAAGTTGCTGTCCTTTTGTTCTTCAGTCTAGTTGTGGAGGACGTCGCTTCACTGGCCCATGTTGGTATTATCATTGCGCCCTTCCCAGGTGTGTGGTCATTGCCCTCTTCCCAGGTGAGGCAGTCGCTCACAGGCCATTGAATGGCCACTCTCAGTGGCTCACGACAGCTCATGCCGGCTGCCAGCCACTCACGGTAGCTCACGGCAGCCCACTGCAGCAGGGGCTGCAACCTACACTGTCGCTGGTGACTCATGGCATCCCAGCTCCAAGCTGAGCTGTTGTTCACCATGTTAGCTTTAGAGGGTACAGCATCACTGGCCCTCATGTGGGATCCGAACTGGGCCCTGCTGCTCAGAGCTGGTGTCCCAAGCCAACTCAACCAAAACGCCACTTGGCCAGCCCCGAAGTATGTATTTTTAAAGTATTTTATTAATAAGACAACTCTGAGTGGAATCAAACAAATGTTAAAGATTTCCTTTATAGATAAGTCTAAAAGTCCTACAGATAGTTAATGTTACAGGTACATTACATAGAAAAATTAAAATATTTTATTAAAGTGGGCTCATATCCAATGATATGAACATCCTCTTAAAAACTACATTTTTTTACTGTGAATTTATTATTTATAATTCCAAGTAGAGAAGAAACATGCCAATTATTCAAATTAATCGACATGGGCCTCAATCTTGAATAACCATGGAAGATCAGGGATTACCAGATATTTGAGGAAAACCAGCAACACCCAAATGAGTGGCCAAAATTTAAAAAGAGAAAAACTTTCACTGACAGAAATAGACAATCACATAAAAGAGCACTTTTTAAATATTCTAATTATTATTCTTGTTGGTCA